GCGATAAATGGCTTGGCGAGCCCCGCCTGTCTGTCTCTTTCTCTCTGCTGATTGGACCAGCTTGAGGTTGCCTTAGCTAGTTCTCTGCCTTAACTCCTGAGCTACACTACCGATGGGACACCCAACCCGTGGATCATGTCGCTAGAGCTTGTGGTTCCTTCCAGACCTGCTTTGCTACCCTGCCGGTGTATACATCGCTTGAGCTTGGGGCTATTGGATCTTGTCATCTGGCTGACTGCTGGTGACCTGCCCTTCTGTTTGCTGCCTGTGGCCAGACTCTTTATAGAAGACTCAGCTGTGTGCTCCCTTGACCTTGGATCCAGCAGCCCTCGTGAGTTGAAGGACTTCCAGAATATTAACTGTTCCACAGAATTGAGTTGAACCGAGCCCTCTGTATTGCTGTGTGGACTAATTAGCTCTTATTTTCCTTCTTGCTGTATATCTATCTCTATATCTATATCTATAAAATCATAAATGTCCTGGTTTTCTTTCTCTAGAGGACCCTGTCTAACACACCATCGTTGCAGTCTTGTTGAGGGTCTTCATTTTGGTTGACCCTCTTCCAACCATGATATTCTTCTCTGGGGATTGGTCCCTCCTGATAACATGTCCAAAATAAGTGAGACAAAGTCCCCTCACCCTCGCTTCTCAGGGGCATTCTGGCTGCATTGCTCCTAAGACAAACTTTGTCCACCCTTCCGGCCATTCGACAGATGCATTCCTTCCTCTGGCTCTCTTCAGTATTGCTGCTGATACTTGTCGTCTCACGCTGTCGGGAGAGACCAGTCCATGGAGGACATCATGCTTGGTAAAGTCGAGGGAGAGTGACGAAGAAGACGGCCCTCCACTAGATGGAGTGACACCGCGGTTGCAACAGCAGGCTCGGGCGTAGGACCAATCATGAGGATGGTGCAGGACTGGGCAGCATTTCGTTCTGTTGTGTGTAGGTTCGCTATGGGTCAGAACTGATGTCATGGCCCCTAGCCACAGCGAGCGCTGCTATTGGTGTGACCTGATGCACGCAGCTAGCCCCTGTTGTGGTTGAGTGCCGTGGAGTTGAAGTTCGCTCAGAGGCATGCCATGTGACACAGGAACTCTGCTCCATAGGGCTTCCGAGACCAAGCAGCTTTATGGAAGCAGACTGCCCAGTTCTTCTACTGCAGCGCACTGCTGGGTTGAACCCGGCAACCTTCTGGTTAGCAGCAGGGTGCTTCCCCACTGCTCCACCAAAGCATCTTCTCACTTCCTGCCTGCGAGTCATTTCCGACTCACAGCGACCCTGTAGGACAGCGTAGAACCGCCCCGGTGGGTACCAAGACTGGACAGCCTCATCTTTCTCTCAAGGAGCAGCTGCTGCTTTTGCAATAGCTGACCTTGCAGCCAGCAGCCCAACATGTAGCCCACGTCTCCACCAGGGTAGAGAACCACGGCCCTTGTGGTCAGGACCCCTTAGACCTACTGATATTTCGTTTAAAATGCTAGAGACCAAGGTGGTGGTGGGGGGGTTGGACCGAGACTTAGGGGAATTTATTTTATTTACTCACATCAAGTAGAAAAGAAGGTGAAAGAAGCGAACAGAAAAATGGTGTAGTAAATAACCACTCGCACACACTTGCGCATGCACACACACACACACACACACACACACACCGACTCCACTGCCATCGAATCAGTTCCCACTCCCAACGACCCTCTATGGGTCTCCAAGACTGTCCGTCTTGCTGGAAGCAGGCTTCATCCTCTCCTTCAGAGCTGCTGATGGGGTTGAAAGGCTGAGCAGAGCCACCACAAACTAAGAATGAACCAAGGAGGGTCGCTAAGAGTTGAGTCCGATAGACACGTGTTCTAGAGGACAAGATATCACCTACATGGATCTGCTCTTTAGTAGTTGTGGGGGGCTGCCTATTCCTGGAGTTCCTGCAATACCTCGAGGTGACAGAGCACCCCCAGGATGCTGCTCCTGTTTTCAAGAATGATCAAGCTTCCAGAGAACAAGGGGGACCTGTAGTGCGGAGGGGGCTACTCACTGAGCTGATCACAAGGTCAGTGGTTGGAACACACCAGCGGATCCTTGGGAGAAAAATGAGGCTGTTGACTTTGGTAAAGATTTACAGCCTGGAAACCCCAAGGGGAAGTTCTACTCTGTCCTGTAGGGTCCCTGTGAGCTGGAATTGACCGGCAGCGATTTTTGGAGTAGAGAAGGGACTTGCATCTGAGCAATGGATGGTCTGGGTCAACCAACCCCTAACCTCATTTTGACTGCTGATTCTCCAAAGGTCGCCCATTTGACTTCTGTACATTCCATATGGAGAAGTCCATGTGGTAATTATGTCCTTGAAAACAATTTTAAAAGGTATTTGCAATGTAGAAGTCGTTGGTCTTACAAAATTCTATCAAAAGATCACTAGTTTTATTTCTGTCATAAAGGCCATATTCCCCAACGATGGTTCCTTTTTGTTTCCAATGTTTGCATTTCAATTGCCAACAACCATCAATGCATGTTGCTGATCAATTGCACACACAAGTTGATAGAATTCTTCAATTACTTCATTACCAGCTTTAGTGGTTGACGCATAGATAAGCATAATAGCTCTATGCATTAGTCTGGGTTGTCTAGCACAACAAACCAGTGACATCCAACTATGCACAAGAAAGAACTTTCTATCAAGAAGGTGACGCCGGCCAGTGCAACTCAGGTCCATAGGTCTGATGCCAGCATGCATCCTCTTCGGATGTCTTTCTAGCAAGTGAACCAGCCCACGACGAACCACTGGTTTTTAGAAACAAAATGATCTCCTTGGATTGCATAGAGATCCACTGCTTGGTAGAAAATGCGTATTTCAATTTCTTTGAGTTTCGATGATTTTTAATAGGAACTGTTAAATGTTCTCTGCAGCCAAGCCCCCAATGTACTAAGTTCAGACCTGAGGGAGAGAAAGAGCTTCGGAGGTGAGGGTGGCAGGTAGGAGAATGGTGGGCTGATTGTTCGTGGAGGAAGGATCTGGGGGAGATGGGCTGGAATTCCCACTAAAGGAGGCAGGGTTTTCCTTGGCACGGGGGTCACTGCGTGAAACACTTTGGAAAAAGAGAATGAGGGCGGTTATACGACTTGAAGAATGTAATCCAGACCCTGGCGAATACTTTGTTGTGTATCTTTTTACCATGATTAAAAAAAAGGATAAAAACTATCTGTAAAAGACACACACAAGATAAGCAACAATTCAGATTAGCATTTTATTAGTAAAAATGTCTTTCTTATGTTTCAGTTACTATTCACATACAAAGCAATAGTTTATCACTGAGACCCCTCTGATGGACACACACACGCACACACACTTTTAGCCAGAAGCTATTAGGGACGTCTCACTCTGTTACATCTACTTCATTCTGTGTTGAGTAAACCTTTGATTCACAAAGGCAGAGAAGGCACTCCTGTCAAAGATTCCCGGTGTAGCCAAGTGGGTTCTTCAGCTCTGACTCGTGGTAGTCATCTCCAGCACACTGAAGCGTGGCTAGGCAAGGCATCCGCCTCTGAGTTTTAGAATTACAGCTTAAAAATGTGCTTTAAAAAATGGGATTTGAGGTGGACATTTATGCAACGGCCAAAGCATTTCTTGGACCCCTGGTTTGGGAAATGACTAAGCCAGATCATCACGAGGGTGCTACTGACTGTCCTAAGTCTGTTTTTGCTGAAACTTTCTGGAATTCAAAGGAAGTGGGGAGGGGGAATAGCACCTTGAAGGGGTGGACTCTCTTATTGTTAGAGCAGTGGTTCTCAACCTTCCTCATGCCGCGATCCCTTAATACAGTTCCTCATGTTGTGGTGACCCCCCTCCCAACCATAAAATTAATTTCGTTGCTATTTCATCACTGTCATTTTGCTACTGTTATGAATCAGGCAACCCCTGTGAAAGAGCTGTTGGACCCCCCAAAGGGGTCATGACCCACAGGTTGAGAACTGCTATGTTAGAGCACTCATCCTCTGAAGCAAGCCGTGGGCAGCTCCAGGCTGTGGGCAAGGGAGGAAGGCCCTTTCCCGGAGATGGGAAGAATCTGACGGCTGGATTTGCAAGAGGCAGACTGCCCAAAAGCACGGTAGAAAAAGCACCTCTTTCCATCTGCTTCCAACAGCCTCCAGTTTTCAAATCGAAGAATATTTGTATCCTAAAGTGTTGGAAGCCAGATAGTAGGACTGTACGAACTGCACATTAAAAAACATTTTTTAATTCCATCTTGGGTCTTGAAGTTGGCTGGCGAACTAGAAAATACACTGGTCCGATGAACCGGAAGATGTAAACTGAAGCCAACTTTTAAAAACGGGAACACTTAGCATGACAATCTGGACTTCCAGTTTTGCACACGACAATAGAGAGATCTGGCAAGAGTGGGTTGTTCTCCTTGTGGGGATCCTGGGCTGAAGATGGGCTGTGGTCCCCGCCATCCACTCCTCGACTGGAGAATGTGTTCTTCACCTCCCCACCGCCCCAACAGGCTCCAACACTTCGGTTCACCCAGGACCCCCCCCACAATGATACAGAAGCCCTGCTGACCCCAGAGGCATTGCATTCTGCCACCCACAGAGTAGATGGCTGTGCTTCGGAGACCAAAATGGAAGCCAGAGCCCCCGTCAAGGACTGGGACAGAAGGCTTCCGGTTCCCGTTTCTCAGGGTTCGTAGCTTAAGCTTGAACCCTGTGGAGCTGCACTCCACAGCTCAGGCTTCCTCGCTTGCAAGGTGGAGGGGAAACTGCCTTCTCTAATGTATGAACTGTCACAAGGATTGAACGACAGCGCCAGGAACTTGATAAGTTGTTGTTGTCGTTTGGTCTGCCTTGCATCCATCCTCACTTTGGAGGGTACTAGCACCCTCGTTTCCCTTTAGGGTGGTTGTTCTCAACCTTGCTAATGCCGCGACCCTTTAATACAGTTCCTCATGTTGTGGTGACCCGCCCCCACCCCCAACCATAACATTATTTTCATTGTTACTTTATCACTGTCATTTTGCTACTGTTAAGAATCAGGTAAGCCCAGTGAAAGAGTCATTCGACCTCCAGAGGGGTTGCGACCCACAGGCTGAGATCCGCTGTCTTGGGGAATACCCTTACCATTTTCATTCCACGTGGTTGGGTGGTATTGACTCCAGTTTCAGGCCCGGTGGTGCTCATTGGGTCAGGCTGGGCAGTCAGAGTGATACACTCTTACAGAGACAATGACTGGTTTAGAGATGGACATTGAGCCAATGGGGGACAGTGGACTTTGATGAAAACTCTTGGGGGAAGAAAGCTCTCTCTTTCCTACTGGATTCAGAGATGGCGTGTTGGCTACCACATTGCCTGTAGGAGGGCAGGGTCTGAGGATGTAGCTAACCAGGAGGAAAGAGGAATAGAAATGTGGGTGGCATAATCTGAGGCCCTGGATTTGAGCATACATCAGCAAACACAGTCCCTTTGCTTCAACCAGATGGGGGAGGGCTAAATCCCCATCCCCCAACGGGGGCTCTACAGGATTAGACAGACTTGCGACCGTTTGTTTGGTTTGGACCCATCTCCTTCAGCACTCTCAGAGTCTTGTGTTCCTCCTGCTGCAGTGGCCAACTCTTCCCTCTGCCTGGATTTGACCAGCCACACTGCCTTCTTGAAGTTCTTCAGTGGATCCTGCTGTGAGACTCTTGATGCGGGGCACTGGAAACGCTCCCGGATGAGATAACCGTGTCTGGTGGGCGCGATGAAACCATTTGATGTTGGGATGATTCTGTTCACCACAGCATGGACAAACTGGACAGCCAGCAGGGCCCCTGTGGGGTAGAAGGAGGGAGACAAATGAGAAGGCCGTGGATCAAAGGACTGGTATCATGCCTCCTGGAGTTGGATGTTGAATTCAGATCCCTGCCCGGCCCTTTGATGGGATTCATCATGGCAGTTAACCTCTCAGAGACCAACTTGCTTGCTCTGTAAAATGGCAATAGCAACAAAACTTACCTGCCAAGGGGAGTTTAGAAGCTTTAAAGGTATTATGCATGTCACATGCTTAGCATAGGGTTAGTTCAGTGCGAGCCCGCCCAATATACATTTTTATGACTGGAAAAGCAGGAAGGGAGATTGTGAACCTTCTGAGGATGGGGCTCTCCTCTCCGCCCCCACCCCAACTTTTCAATAAGTCATAGATATTTATAGACTTCCTTTGATAAGCTAGGAACTCAGTGAGTTCTAAGGCTGCAAAAGTGGCAGGACTTATTTCTTTATATCAACATTTATTTATGGTAAGGATGAGCTTTTAAGGGCGCAATAAAACATCCAGCTTCTAAACCATCCTGTGAATTTTTGCTAGGCATATTTGCTACACTATATTAGACTACAGTGTTGCAAGAATACTGTGGAGATATCTGGTTGTAAATCCTCTATGGTTATAATACCATTTGTGAGTGTGTGTTATGCTTGTTTTATATGTTACTCAGGCAGGACTAGTGTAGGTTAGATCTCAAGTCAATCGCGTTTGAGAATCAAGTGTAGACTCTCTTTTGAGATATGAAAGCGATGATTAGACAAACAAGTACCAAATATAATTGGGGAATTGTAGATGCCAAGCCACATGAGATCCCCAAGGAACCAGGAAACAGAAGCTGAAGATGTAAGGGCCTCCATCGCAGCTGACAGAGAAGGAAAGCTCTTCCCTGGACCTGGTACCCTGACTTTGAATTTCAACTTCTTAACCTGCGAGAAAGTAAATTTCTGCTTGTTAAAACCACCCCTTTGTGGTACTTTTGTTACAGGAGCAGCAGACAATGAACACAGACTCTATTGCGAAAGAACTCATCAAATGGCCAACAGGTATATAAGATGGCCAATAAACCCATAAAAAGATGCTCATTGTCATGAGCCAGGTTATTGGTTGACACAGATAATTCCCACTCATGGTGACTTCACTGGGCAGAGCAGACGTGCACACAGTTTTTAATGACTGATTTCTCAGAAGGAAACCACCGGGTCTGTTTTCTGGGTGGGTTAGAACCACCAGCGTTTTGGCTGGTCTTTGAATGCATAACCATCTGATCTACCTAGGGACTACTGGTTCTCCCCACGGTCATTGAGTTGATCTCAACTCATCTGAACCCTACCGGACACAATTGATCCTTAGAGTTCTGGAGACAAAATCTTTTCAGAAACTGTCAGCCTCATCTTGCTCCTTCAGGGAAGCTGGTGGGTTTGAACTGTGACCTTCCATTAGCATCCCAATGCTTACCCCATAGTGCCGCCCAAGCTCCTTTATTTAGCCCTCAGGAACACGCAAATCAAAAACACAATGAGATGCCACGACTATTAATATGGCGAAGATTAAAACACACACCTACCCAACAGAAATAACCAGTGTAGGGGAGGGAGTGGAGAAATTGGAACCCTTATCCACTGCTGGTGAGAATGAAAAATCATACCACTGCTGAGGCAAACAGTTTTGTGGTTTCTCAGAAAGTTAACCGTGGGGTGACCACGTGCCCAGCTATTCCACTCCCGGGCAGATGCCTGGAAGGAGTGTCGGCAGGAACACAAACCAAAGCCTACACACCAGTGTCCACGGCAGCACTTTGCACAAACAGCCAAAAGTTAGAAACCACTGGATACTCCATCAACAGATGAACGGATGAACGAAATGCGGTGTCGATAAACAATGGAATATTACGAAGCCGTCAAGAGAAATGAAGTCTGGATGCATGCCACCTCATGGGTTAACCTTGAAAACAGCACTCTGAGTGAAACGAGTCACCCAGGGACAAGTATTATATGATCTCACTTATATGAAATATAAATATATTGAGACCGAATTTCATTAGTGGCTAGAAGGGATCGGGGAGACCCTTTGTACAGGAAGCAGTGAGTTTCTGTGATTGGAATTTTGGCAATGATTCTGGGCGGTGCTTGTCCGACACAATCACTGCAAGCGGTGTCAGTAAATTGCACACCTGGGAAACGTTGAATTGGCAAATGATATGTTCTACCGATTTTCACAGAAATAATCTGAAATAACTCACCGTCCAGTACACTCCAGACAATGACGGAGCGATCCTTCAAGCCCGCGTACACGTACTTGTCATCTTTAGAGAAGCAGGCACACTGCACCCCTCGGCAGTAAGAACTCTGTGGGAACAGACAAGGTGGTCTTGAGTCCAGGCTGAAAGCTTCCAGGAGACCAATGTCAACGCTCTAGGAATCCTGGCTTTTCAGCCCCCATGGAGGAGGGGCCTAATGAACAGCTGGAGGGATAGGTAGCTGGGGTCTTCTCGGGACCCTCAATGTCACATCAGAGAGAGCTGATTGAGAAGTTTAGAGACTTCTCAATTGGAGAGTGGGAGTGATAGGACTTACAGTCCTAAATGGCCCTAGTGACAACTGTTAGTGAGGCATTGGCGGTTCCCTAGTAGAATCCTTGCCTTCCATGTGGGAGACCCAGGTTCAATTCCTGGCTAAGGCACCTCACGCACAGCCACCGCCCCTCCATCCATGGAGGCTTGCATGTTGCTGTGACTTCCCTGGCCTTTCAGAATGATATCTGCTACAAAACCCTTTACCGCTCCCAGATTCCCGATGTGCTGATTTCATAAAGAAATGTTTCGTCAACATCCATCTATTCAGTGCTGAGGCTGTCTCTGGGGCTGTCCTGGGGTTGGGGAATCACCCAATGAGCAAAACATAAAAATTATTCCCACGTACACCTCACAATGCCTTCCTCACGAAAACGAACCCTAAGGCTAGAATCTACCCCTCGCTGATCAGTGTGTGGTGCTGTGGCAACACCACTGTTGCTGGGATGCCGGAAGCTAGGCTGATGGTATTTCAAATGTCAGCAGGGTCACCTCGGGGGGACACGTTTCAATAGAGCTTCTAGACTAAGTCCAACTGGGAAGAAGAACCTGCCAATCTACTTCCCAAAAAAAGTGGCCAGTGAAAACCATATGAGTCTCAGTGAAACATAGTCTGATAGGGTGCTGGAAGATGCGTCTCTGGGGGGAGAAAGGCACTCAAAATATGAATGAGGAAGAGCTGGCTCCTCAAAACAAAGCCAAGCTGAATGATGTGGATGGAGCAACACATTCAGGACCTGATACAGCTCACCTCGCTCACCTCCCCCTATTGTTCCTAGCTCTAGCTGAAGGCACACACCCATGAATCGTCAGAGCCTGGAAAGGACAGCGCATGGCCCTACAGCATTTGGAGGTCATCAAACATGAGCTAGAATGCATATAAATCTAAGTGCTAGGCATGGTTGGGCTGCAAAGACCGGATTAGCCACTTTCAATCCAATAGTCATATGCTCTACTGTCAGGAAGGACAGATTGCAAAGGAATAACATCCTGTTCATGGTCAAAGAGAGTATTTCAAGATCTATCCTGCAGCACACCACTGTCAATGGTCGGCTACTACACGTGTGCCTACAAGACAGACTACTATTCAAATTTATGCACGCACCCCAATGCCAAAGATGAAAGCACGGGTTCAGATTAATTAGGAAACAATGTCTACCTTGGGCATTGTACTTTTTAAAAGAATGACGCATGTGATCCAATGAACAATAGTCATTGGAAAGGGTGGATTCGAAGCCTAGGGAGTTCTGAGTTCATATTTAGTGGTGGAGGGATCATTTGAAAGAGAGTTTCTCCCTTGGAGGAGAAAGGGGAAAATTATTGAGTTTCTATTAATGGCGATGGACATTTTGGCAAGGGATATTGCTGATCGTGGCTCAGCACAATTAATGCAATTCATGTCACTAAATTGTACCTGTCAGAGAGGTTCGATCGGCAAATGTTGCCAGCTATATTTTTCCAGCAATAAAAAAAATATATGATCTATTGCAATTGCGGAGTGTCTGGGCACCCAAGGTGTGATGGTTAATTCTAAGTGGTGAGGTGGCACAGCTGTGATTCTCAGTGGTTTGTCCAGATACTGGACTGGGTGCTGTTCCTCGATGTAACACGGCGTAATGCAATTCAATGACTTCCGGAATGCAGCGTACTATAATATAATGGCCTTCTAAGATGTCATAGGACGGGATCAGCCTACCAACTGACAGGGGGGTTTCCTGCCCCCCCAGAATATTGCTTGCCCTCTTCCCTTTGGACAAAGCACTCGTTTGCTTCCTTGGCCTATGGATTTGGGGTCAAAAGGCTGCAGAAATCTTCCCGCTACCAGACTTACAGATTGCGATCCCTCCTGTCTCACACTTGCATACGTCAGTCGCTCGAAGAAATCATCTATCTGGGTATGCATACACAAAGGGAGAGCGAAACAGCAGTGAGCTGCAGGTGGCTAGTGGAGGACTAATTTGGTAAAGGATATTGAGAACGTCATCAATGCCACTGGATAGTACATATAACATTGGCACATGCTGTGCTGTGTATATTATTATCGCCCCTCCCCCAATAAAAAATATGATCCCTCTTAAAACCAACTGCCATCGAGTTGATTCTGACTCATAGTGACGTGTTTATCTGTCTTAGGGAGGAGAAAGGGGGAATCATTGTAAATATATATTACGTTGAAAATATGAGGGCAAAAAAAAAAAATGAGGGCACTTCAGTTTGTGGGAAAATTCCATTATTTTTCAATTCTGTGTGTAGCCTTCTCAGGAGTACTGTGTGTGAAGGTGAGTGTAAGTATGTGGATGTGTACATGTATATGTGCATGTGCATGTCTTAACCTGTGCTAACCTTGTCATGTCTGTAAGTGTATTGCCACCAATCGAGCCTTTGTCTATCTATGTAAATATGTGAGAGGTTTTCCAAAATTTCAAGGAAAATTAGAATGAAAGGATAATTAAGTTTTCCACAAATGTTTTGAGGCTCATCTATCTGTAAGTACATATGTATGTGTGTCTACCTCTGACTGGTTTTCCTCCCGAGAACTTGAACGAAGACCTCGCTCACCTCCTCCTATTATTCCTAGCTGTAGCCAGTGGCACACAGGAAGCCCTCAGTCAGTGGCCGCTATCACCAATTTCCCAACGGAGCCCCCGGGTCACCTGCAGCTGAAAGACTGGCAAGTTGAACCCGGGAGTGCTGGGTGGATGGGAGATCTGCTTCTGAAAGAGCCCAGCCCTTGACATCCCCAGAAGCACAGGCCTAATCCGTTCTAGCAGGGTCACCGTGAGAAAACAAGGGCCACCATTGTTTTCTACCGCCAGGACCTGGTGCGTGGGAAAGGGGTGTGGGGGCCACGCACCGTGTAACTCATCTCCAACTTCCATTTGCACGCCTGCAGGTCCCAGAGGCACAGCAGGGCATCCTCCGAGCCACTCACGGCCAGCTGCTCCCTGTGGCTAACCTCCACGCAGGTGACCCTGCTCTGGTGGGCTTCCAAGGGGAACACCTTGGAGTTGGCGCACTCGTACAGAAAGAGGTCGCCGTTGGTCATGCCGTAGACCACCCGGTAGTCGGCCAGAACAGCCACGCTGGAGATGGTCTCGGGCAGCTGAGTGTAAAAGGTGTAGGTCGGCCCATCGATGACAGGGCAGGGGTCCCCGGGGCTGATGTCCAGCACCAGGACGATGTTGTCGTAGGCGATGGCCAGCCGCTCCTCACTCTTGCTCAGCGACATGCAGTTGATGGCTTTGCGGGCCTCCGGCGGGGGGATGCACATCACGTCCTGCCGGGAGTTCAGGGGGAACACGAGGACAATCCCCGAAACCAGGCCGGTGAAGAGCAGCTGGCTCTGCTGGGCCACCTCCAGGCACCTGACCTCGTTGGAGGTATCCAGAGCATCTTGTTCCTCACCTGCCAAGAGGAAGAGGCCACGCTGAAAACGGACCGAGGAGCCCTGCGCCTGTAACCTGAAAGCATCTTGTACAGGCATGGCTGACCTCGTGATTGTCGAAAACCGACAGCGGAAACACACCGACTCAACCAGTTCTACGCGTGTGATTCCGCGGCCCTGATTGCGTTCTCCAAGTCGTACCACCATTCTCATCTCCCCTTTTCAAAGGATGCCTCCCCCAGGGACATAACTGTCCTGCCCACTAAACTGCCTATCGCACCTTTCGAGTTGCCACGCTTCTCCATTTGATCCCATAGAGACAGCACTGTGAACGAGAACTGTGCACCGGGCACTGTCGTGTCGCACGATTGTGGAGCATCAAGAGTCTAACAGAGCTTCTTTACTTAAGGTTTAAAGATCGTCTCAGGGCAGGAGTTTATTGGGGGAGGGAGAGTCCTCCAGCCTCAGTACCTTCAGAAAGTCATTCTATGGGAATGTGAAATTCTGTTCCACATTTCCCCTACTTTTGATCCATGTTCTTCTCTAAAATCTTTGCTCAAAGGGGCCTGGGAATGACTTAAACCTTGGGCCCAAATGATCCCACAAAGGCCTCTTTAAACTAGACCACAATTGAGCTCATGGGATCAAGCAGGTCGGCACTGAGCAGGGCGCTCTTTGGAAGAAACATCTGTGAGATCCCATGGAGACAGCAGTTCTTCAACACGCACACAACGTTGAAGAGGCAGAGTCTCAGTTCATGGTGGTGAAGCAACGTAGGCAGAGAGAGGAGAATGGTGTGATATAGTGTGAAGCAGGGACCCAGGTGCTACCCTCCCCTGGAAAGGGACACACACACACACACACACACACACACACACACACACCCTCCTGGAAAAGATCCCCCAGGATGGCAATGACTAATGGGTAGGGGGTGCAAAAGGAAGGGCCCCTTTGTTTCAGATGGGACAATTCTCTGGTGTCGTACACAGCCTAGAGCTCCCCATGCGTTGTGGATCGAATGGTGCCACAACGGCCAACCAGATGAGCTCTGCCGACTCTGAAAGGTCGGCCGACTGAATCCACCTAGAGGCGCTGCAGAATAAAGGCCTGGCGATCCGCCCCGAAAGCTCACAGTTTGAAAAAAAAAATATCTCTGTGGGATTATATATATCCCAAGTCATCATAAGTTGAGATGAGTTGAGTCTATTTGACAGCAACTAACAATGACAGCATAAATGTTGGAGTCCGAACCCCTATACCTGAAGATCAGGCTCCCTGGCGGTGCTATGGGTTCGGCATCAGGCAGCCAATCCCAAAGGCCCACGTGTGAACCCATTGGTCACTTCCAGGGTAAAGGATGAGGCTGTCTGTTCCCACAAAGATTTATGGGAGGAAACCTATATATTGGGTTCGCTAGGAGTCCAAATCAATCTCCACCAGGGGGTTGGTTTGGGCGGTGCTTTTCCCAGGGGTGTAATCCTGTCCGGGGATATGGCTTTCTTTGGGATGTTAATAAGATCACATCCCAGTAAAACCAAACTCACTGCCATCGAGTCCACGCCAACTCACAGCAACCCTACAAGGCAGGGTAGAACTCCCCCTATGGGTTTCTGAGATGACTGTAACTCTTTCCGGGAGTAGAAAGCCTCATCTTTCTCCCTTGGAGGTGCTGGTGGATTTGAACTGCTGACCTTGCAGTTAATAACCCATTGTGGAGCCCACTGCACCCCCAGGGCTCCAAGCAGCACTAGGGATCTGAAAACACCATGGGGTCAGACTGATTCCACATCCTCCCCGCTTAGCTCGCCTCTGCCCCTTGCTGCTCCCCACCCCACCCCCATCCCTCCAGGCATCACCTATGCAAATCCCACTACCTCAGACCCTACTCCTAGACCACCTGAATTAGCAAGGAACCTGGGGGGTATAAGCACTTTGTGATGAGCTACTAGCCCAAAGGCTGGTAGTTCAAATCCTTCTGCGGCTGTGGGAGAAAGGCCTGGCCCACTGCTTCTGTAAAGTGCTGAGACCCACTACCATCGGGTTAATCCAGACTCACAGGGTCCGTATACAGGGTCCCCAAGGCTGTGCGTCTTTACAGGTGCAGACAACCTCATCTGTCTCCCTCAGAGCGGCTGATAGGTTTGAACCCCTAACCTTATGGTTAGCAGTCCAGGACTCCATAGAAGGATTGCCGTTGAGAAAGCCCTATGGAGCAGCTCTACTCTGGAACACACAGGGCTACCAGGAGTCAGGGACCAATTCAGCTGCTTCCCGCTAGCAGAGTACAACAGCAAGGTCTGTTTTCTACTGTCGACTTTTGAGCTGACTGGCGTGACTGGGCCTTCAATTCGTACCCACCAAGTAATAGGAAGTGGTCCTTGTGCTTATACTTAGTTCTTACAAACCTTCCGCCATGTCCCAGACGGTGACTTTGTTTTTGTCCCCAATCTTGGGGAAGTAGACGTAGCTCCCGTTGTGTGACACAGCAGTGAGGCCAGTACGGTCCAGAAAAGGGACAGGGACGCGGGGCTTCTGAGAGCTGGTGACATCCCAGACTTTGAAAGATGAGGATTGTTGGGAGGCAGATGCCACCCAGGCCCCTCCTCGCACCAGCAGGCTCACAGGGGCCCCGACACCTTCGAGGATGTCTAGCAGGGTTCCCTGTTCTGAGAGGCTCCACACCTGAGGAGGAAGAACAGAAGGACTAAGGCCGTGGTTCCCTGAGCGGGTCCAGGGACTCTGGTGTCTCAGCCTCTTCCTGATGCCGCAACAGGAGGAGGCTTTAGAGAACAGAGGGGCATCAACTGAGTCCACATGGAAGAAGCACACCAGCCTGTGTGATCCAAAGACGGCAACTAACAACACCCAAAGATGATGAAGGAAAGGTGCCAGCTTACATTGTGAACACACCTTTGGGAGAGGGCTATGGAGGACGGTGGAAGCCCAAAACCCATCTGCGGAGTTCTCTATTTGGGTTAAGTCTCCGGCAGATCCCCTCCGGCAACAGCCAAGGGTATTGTAAATTTGACTAGGGTAGATGGAACCACAGTCTAATACCATATTGGTCAGTTGACCTTCCTTTTGACCCGTCCTGAATTTGCTCTAGGTTTAAATATTTCTCGCTTGTTCCTCGCCAGAAAATTTCTCTCTGGCTTATTTTAATATTGCCAGTGGTCTTTTCTTTCTTCCTCCCACCACCCTTCTGCTTTGTTCTTATTGTTTAAATTGCTTCTGTTCTGTGTGGCCCTTGCAAGGCATTCTCAACCCCAGCAGGGACGCAGGCTGCTGTGGGTGGGACAGGTGAGGGAGGGAGGGTGAAGGCGTGTCTGGCCTCTGCCTTTGGCAATCGGCTTGGGTTGGCGTGGAGTTTGAGTCTCCACTCTACTGAGCTGAAGGCTGTCAGATGCCCCCCACCCCTCTCCATGACCCTCCTTCAATTACCCACATTTAAGCCTTTCCCTGCCTTCTTAACCCTTTCTTTTAGGAACTCAACTCAAACTAACCAATCAAAGAGTTTATTGTTATCCCTTGTTAGTTTCTGGTCCTATCTCCATCTCTGCCCAGGGTCCAGTCTCTCTGCACTGTCCACGTCTTCGCCGGTACAAACTGGTGATATTCTGTCTGGATGTCTCCTGAATGTGTATGTGTGTACATGTGTATATATATACACACACATACACACATATACATATATACACACATGTATGTCTATATATATAAGAGGGTACCCCTCCCCAAGAAAACCCAGAATTTTTTTTCAAAGCTATGTATTTAATTTTTTATAAAGCAACCTTATCACCTTCAAAGTACTCTCCATTACACTTAATGCATTTGTCAAATCTGCAATTCTAATCTTGGAAACATTTTTCAGACTCATCTGTTCAATGGCTGACAGCACTTCCCTTCTTGTTTTTCTTTGCCTCTTTTATGTCTTCAAATCGCTGCCCTTTCATGTTCCTCTTCATTCGCAGAAACAAAAAGAAGTTTCACAGAGCAAGGTCAGGTGAGTAAGGGGCATGGGGCAAGAGAGGCATGCGCGTTTTTTGCCAAAAACTGGAGCACTGAGATGGCTGAATGAGCAGGTGCATTGCCATGGTGGCAAAACCAGGCCCCATCTGCCAGAAATCTGGACTTTTTTAGTGACACACTGTTATGCTATCTTTTCAGAATCTCTAAATAGAAAGCTTGATTAACAGTCTGGCCAATGCACTATCTCCCTCACATAAAAAACCAAATGAGCATTTTCTTGATCTTTGATTTCACTTGATGAGCTTTTGGGGGGCTAGGTGATGATGGTGTCTTCCACTGGCTTGATTGATGTCTGCTTTTGGGGTTGTAAGACTGGCACCAGGTGTCCTCACTAGTAATGACCTTGGGGGGAAAGTCTGGGTCCCTTTGGAGCTGTTCTTTCAAAGCATGGCATGTTCCATTTGACGCCCTTTTTCCTGGCCAGTAGGAACTCAAGACACAAATTTCACACTGACCCTTCTCATTCCAAATCTTCCACGTAGATTTTCTGAACTGAGCTCCAAGATAGTCCAGATAACTTCCCATCTCTCCAAAGGGTCATCACTGGTCTCTGAGGACAGCCGCATGAGTCTTGTTGACATTTCTGTCTGTTCGGGAAGTTGACAGATGTCTAGAATGCGGTTTGTCATCAATTGACACTTCGCCTTTTTGGAAACAAGAAAACCATTCATACACTTGAGTTTTTCCCATGGCTCTGTCCTTGTAAGCTCTGTTCAACATCACAACAGTTTCTGTGGCATTTTTCCTGAGCAGGAAACAGATTTCACAGCCACGTATTGTTCTCTTAAATCAGTCATCACAAAAACACAAGGTGCAAGCAAACTGCTTTTATGAAAAAAAATTCACTGTGACCAGAGAGAACCTTCCCAGGCGACACCACTGGGTGCACTAACTCAGAGTGAGTTGCTTAATGCTCGCCCAGCAGGAAAAATGCACACTAAGAATTCTTTTTTCATTTTGGAGGGTGGGGGTACCCCCTCATATATTTTAAATAATTTTTCATGAAATCATGCTGTTTATGTTAGCATATAATGGTGTTTTAAATTAAGTTTGAAGCAATTAGTGATTCGGTATTTTGGGGTTTCCTCAATTTTAACTTGGTAAGTCTGAATAGATCCTAAATGCAGTGTTGGACCCTGGACTGGATCTGGGAAGTATTCAAAGGGAAACAAATCTGAGCAAAGCCCGTAGAGCAGTTAGCTGTGTTTCCCAGCGTTAATTTCAGAAGCTTGTTAATGTAGCAAGCTCAATGAAATGTTGACAGGGGGAGATGGGTCAAGGGTACAACAAAAGTCAGAGCTTTGAAAATGCTGGGCAACTCGGCGCACAGTGGGTCCCCCTGAGTCAGCATTGCCTCAACAGCAATGAACAACCTCAACCGCCTCCTAAACTGTGAGAAAATGAATTCCTGTTCTTAAAAGCCACCTTCTTGTGATACTTGTGCTACAGCAGGCCAGGCCCCAGAGACAATGCTCATCAATCAGGGCCATGAAATTTAGGGTTAGAGCTTGGACCCCTGCTGGGCAGCACTGCTCATCAACTGGATGACCCTGAGCTAGTACCTTGACCGCTAATGGCCTCAGAGTCTTCGCCTCTTAAGTGATGATGGTTGTAGGGCTGCAGGTGACATGTATTGGATGACGCCTCCCCCACAGTCAATCCTGCTAGAGTAGCAGTTAGCACTGGGGTGGCTTGTGTGTGGCTGTGGTGCTGGGAGTGATTTCAAATACCAGTAGGTCCACTCAGGATGAATAGGTTTCCGCAGGGATTTCAGACTAAGATCTGCTTACACACATTGGCCAATGAAAAACCCATAGCTCACAATAGACCATTGTCTGACTCGCTTGTTTTAGATAGATCACCAGGAGGGACCAATGGCTGGAGCAGGAAGGACATTGTGCTTGCTGACGAAGAAGGCCAGCGAGGGCGATGCCCAGTGAGATGGAATGGGGCAGGAGCCACAGCAATGGACCCGAATGTCCTGGTGATTGTGAGGATGACATAGGACCAGGAGACGTTTGGTTTTGTTGCACAAAGTTCTTCATGAGTCATACCTGACCCAATGATGTCGTCTGCCAACACCCCCCACCCCACCCCTCTCTACCTACCTAGCTGTGATAGTTAGGGTTTATGTCAACTTGACTGAGCCGGGATTGTTAGTGGTTTGCAATTAAAGCCTAGCAATCTCTCATCATGTGACCCAACACAGTGTAGTCAACTCCACAAAGGAATCTGCTGGGAGCAGCCAAGCTGTTGTAAGAAGACTAGGGTAGAACGTGATCCTTACTCGGGTCACAGACTGGATGCCATGGAAAGGAAGTTTCCTCAGGGGCACTTCCTAGATAAGTGGACGCTGCAGGAAAGTTTGCTAGCTTCTTGCTGGATCTGGATCCTGCGTCTGGCTTATCAGCCTCCAGTCCTTTGGACTTGAGCCAACTGCCTACTCTGTTGCCTGCCAACTGTGGAAGCCTGTCATCTGCCCTGCCGATCTTGGATTCATCCACTTCTGCAGGTTGATATCAGCCTGTGGTCTCACTGCCAATCTGGGATTCATCATTCTCTGAAGCTTTGTTAGTCAGGAGATGCCTCCAGCTTAGCAGCTGACTCACACAACAGAAGCTTGCTTGGACTCAGTCTTGACTGGCCCTCTTCTACGACTGTGAGCCATTCTCTTAATATAAACGTGTGTGTGCGTGTATGTGCCACTGTTTTTACTTCTCTAGAGAACCCAAACTTACATTCTATAGATCAATTGATGGACCAATCTACCTCTCTCTCTCTCTGTATAAAATTCACATAAATACAAGTTCTTTGAGGGTCCTTAATAAATATAAGGGGGTACCAGGAAAAAAAAGGAAAAAGGCTCCACTGGGCAGAGTTTTCATAGTATTAATTTTTCCCGCTAGGCAAGCATCCAGAAACTCGCTCTGAGTTAGTGCACCCAGTGGCGTCGCTTGGGAAGGTTCTCTCTGGCCATAGTGAATTTTTTCATAAAAGCAGTTTCATTCAAATCTCATTTTTTTGGTGTGATGGTCAGTTTAAAAGAACAGTGTGCAGCTGGGAAATTTTGCTTCCTGCTCAGGAAAAATGCCACCAAAAACAGTTGTGATATTGAACACAGCTTACAAGGACAGAGCCATGGGAAAAATGCAAATGTACGAGTGGTTTTCTCGTTTCCAAAAAGGTGAAATGTCGATTGATGACAAACCTCAATCTGTCAACTTCTTGAATGAATGAAAATGTCTGCTCATAGGGCATTTGGAGTTAGTTCCACCGGGTCAGACGGTCAATCAAGCTTTCTATGTAAAGGTTCTGAAAAGATTGCATAACAGTTTGCAACATAAAAGACCTGATTTGTGGCAGATGAGGGACTAGTTTTGCCACCACGACAATACGCCTCCTTACACAGCCATCTCAGTGAGCCAGTTTTGGAAACAAAAAACCAGCCAATGCCAGCATGCCTCTCTTGCCCCATGCACCTTACTCACCTGACCTCACTCCGTGTGACTTCTTTTTGTTTCTGTGAATGAAGAGGGACATGAAAGGACAGCAATTCAATGACATAGAAGAGGTGAAGAAATATGAGAAAGGTGCTGTCAGCACATCCAAACAGATGTGAAAAATGTTTACAAGAATGGAATCTCAGATTTGACAAATGTAGTAAGTGTCATGGAGAAGTTTGAAGGTGATAAGGTTGTTTTGTAAAAAAAAAATTTTTTTTTAAATCTAAATACATAGCTTTGAAAAAAATTCCAGTTTTTTTTTATACCCCCTCATATGTAAAACGCCATGGGGTTCCACGATAAAAACATTGGGGAACATTATCCTACCCAGGTTCCCTCACCAGCCTCATGACTTTAAGCTTAAACAGGATGCTCCTGTTTAATCCCTGTAAATATCCCTCCCCCTGCTATGCCCTGCAGGCACACCCGCCCCATTTTCAGAGCTAATTGGGAATGGCCTCTCCTTCACTGACTTTTCAGTAACCACCCTCAGTGTGCTGCTGAGTCCCCAGATACAACTCCAAAGCCTCTCCGTGGCCTGCCCTATTTGCCTGTGCTAGTTTTTGTGGGTCTCTCTGCCTGGAAGCTAGACGGTCCCCAAAGAATCCTATTTTGTATTCCAAAGGCAAAGGCAGACAGGAGGGGGCCAGCTAGAATCTCCTCCCTACCTGAATGAGTGCGTCGCGGGATCCTGTCACAATCAGGTTGTTCCTGGGACCAAAGACAGCCGTCTCTACTGTGTCCTCGTGTTGCAGATCGGAGGCCATGAAGCGGTGGAAGCCCCGTGAGTCCGCCAGGAAGATGCGCACCGATCTTCCGAAGCCTGAAACAGCAGGGGCAGGGTTTACTCTTCTCTTCCTTGAACCGGAGACGCATTTAATCAGCCAGGATTTTTTTGAGCACCTACTATGTGCCAGTGGAAGTGACAGTGAGGGATACAGCGGAGTTGTCTGCCCCAAATGCCCGTGCTAGGAGAAATCTGCAGGGGGGGGGGGGAGGGCCCACTCTCGCGAGGCCTCTGGGGGTCTCCTGCTCTTGGTCCCCCACTTGTGACTCCGAGCTCCTGTTCTGGTACATTCTTTGCACGTCGTTTTTCATGCTTCCCTGAAGTGGCGATTTTTGGTCATAAGCTCTTGTGCTCTCTGCATGGCCTTGTACCCTTTCCAGTAATAGCATGTACTTTTTAAGACTATAATACCTGAACGTTTCCTTTCCCTCGTAAAAATCACTTGGATATACAAAAGCGCTTCTGCTGTGTGAATTCTTTCTGAGTTGAGAAGCAAGAACCGGGGTCAACCACCCCCGGAAACCTAACGGCAGGGACACAGTGGGAGAAAAGAGAGAGATGGTCCCAGTTATGTATTGAACTGTGTCTCCCCCACCCCAACTCAGAGTATGAGTCGTACTCCTCCACCGTATACCTGTGAGTGAAACGACATGTTGCCTAGGGCAAGACCTCTTTAAAGAGCCAGGGTGTCACTTCTGACAGAGAGGGTGAACGAACAGCTGAAAGAGTCTGCTGTTAATCAAAGTACTAGAAATGTAACATAATTTAAGATACAATTTGTTAAATATTCAAAACGTAACAGCTCCTTCCCTTCTAGTCACATTGCTTTTGGGCTTAATCAGCAGGGATGTTCCGACTCAGGAAGGAAGCTAGCAAGGCCATTAAGTATCCAGACGCAAAGCATCCCCATTCAGAAAAGCCAGGCTCGGAAGCATCCCCCAGTTTAGATAAGAATGGGTGCATGAAGCTTCAGGGTATGGTGGTTGAAAGGTCCCCGGAGAAGTGTGGATATAGAGAATCTTTTAATGATCATTGTAAAACCTGCCTTCTTGGAGTATCGATTATATATCCTGTGATCATTGTGAACACTTGCTATTCTCTTCCTGTAATCGTTGTTAAAAAAACAACCCCAAAACCTGTTTCCTGTCACCTAGGGCAGTGTGTTTGCTTGCTGGGCTGGGACAGAACTCTGAAGCAGCTCAGAGGAGAAACCTGGCTGCTTTTTGTTTGCACGTTCTTGCAGGAATAAATTTAGGATTTTTTGAATCAACCTGTTCTCTGGTTTTGGCTAACGCAGTCACAGGCTCCCCAGAGTCCTTGCAGTCCGACCACCCTTTGAGGACTAAAGTACGCCTGACCCAAGCCACGGTGCTTTCCGGTGCCTCCTGTGCCTGTGAAAGTCAGACATGGAACAAGGAAGACAACAGAAGAACCCATGCCGTTGAACGGTGGTGCCGACAAGGAACACCGGAAGTACCACAAACTACCAAAGAACAAATACATCGATCTTAGACAAGTACAGCTAGAGTTCTCCTGAGAATCAAGGATGACAAGACTGCATCTCGGGTGCTTTGGCATGTTGAGAGGGGAGACTAGTTCCTGGGGCAGAACTTCGTGCTTAGAGAAAGATCACAGAACCAGAGGAGAACCCGCGACAAGGGAGACTGGCAGAGTGACTGCAGGGATGGACCCTAACATAACAGCCATTGTGAGGATGGCGCACGACGACGAGCAGTGTGTTGCCATGAGCAAGGATGGGCTCAGGGCACCGTGAACCCAAACAACTGCACGCCTGTGGAATAGGCTTCCTGTGTTGTGTTGATGAGGCTATACCAGTCAAGGAAACGTCTTAAGCCAATACTTTCTGAGACAGACAAGAAGCCAATTAGGCTCAGAACCAAAGAATCACAAATGGGGTGTGCAGTTACATAATCTCCCGTCAGCTTGAGCAAAGGGGTAAAGTCCAGCCTGTCAATCAGGTGGCAGCTTGATGACCTCATTTGGAGACACAACAGAGGTCAGTAGCTCATTGGAGGCCAGACCCAGTCTCTCTGCCTCCCCTTTCCTGCGGTTGAGACACCCAGAGGGCTGGAGGAGACACTGGAGACCTGCACCAGTGTGGAGATGCTTCCACTGCCACTGGATCCACAAGACCTTCCACCCACTGGCCTGTGATCTTCCTGCACTCAGCGTCATTGCATGTGCTGCGTGAGTCTAAAGAGGAATTTGCGAACTAGTATTGGACTAGTATCGGCTAATATCGGACTATGAACTTGATCTGGACTGGGCTGGGATGTTTTCTCCATATACAATTGCTCTTTTATAGAAAGCTCTTTCTTATACATACATGAGTGTCTATGAATTTGTTTCTCTAGTCTACCGGGACTAACACAGGGGGGAAGATGGAGGTCACATGGAGATTTCTAAGGAACAGAAGACGAAGCTGAAAGGAACAGGGATCTTCTCCGAGATATGACAGAGAGCCTTTCCTTGATCCAAACTCACTGCCATCGAGTCAGTGCTGACTCATAGCGACCCCCAGTGGGTTTCTGAGACTGTAACGGTTAGGGGGCTAGAAAGCCCACTCTCTCTCCCAAGGAGTTGCTGGTGGTTTTAAATTGTCGACCACGAAATTGCAGCCTAACACGTAACCACGACACCACCCGGGCTCCTTTCCCCTGGAGCCTCAGTTCCAACTTCTCAACAACCTAGCCTCTTGAACTTTCGAGAAAATAAATTTCCATTTACTAAAGCCACCCACTGGCATGGAGTCCATGCTGACTCTCAGGAGCCCCTGAGGGTTTCTGAGACTGTAACTGCTTATGGGACTAGAAAGCCCAGTCTTCCGCCCACAGAGTCGCTGGTGGTTTCGAACTGCTGACCATGGGACACCACAGCCCAGCTCAGAACTTCCTACATCCCCGGGCTCCGCACTTGTGGTATTGCCGTGACAACAGCACCAAGAGACGAAGCCAACTCTAGCCTCACATAGTCTGCAGCGCGTGTGTGGATGGTAGTAACCAATCATCTCAGAAAACGTTAGGGAGCTGGATTGAGGGACAGGGGGGTTGTCCCTCCCATGCCTGCAAACGCCCCCGTAGAGGAGGTTGGAAAGAAATCAGGTACCCCATTAGACACTTATGGGAGAATCCCAGAACTGAGCATGCATAGACAAGGACCCTGTAGGCCCAGGTAAAAGCAATACCCTGGGTACACGCACTTTAGGTACCAGCAAATGACATCACACAGGTGGGCCTAATTCAGCTAATACCTTCACCCACGCCTCTCCAGCCAGAGGTGTTAAAGGCTGCAGGGAAGGCAATTTCTCTCTCTCTCTCTCTCTTTTTGGTCTTGCAGCAGGTCAGAGGGCAGGGGGCACACGCTCTGCCCACTGGGTGTGTCCCCTCAGGGCCCACCAGTTCCGCATGTGTGGGTGTTCTTTGCCACATGGTTGTTCATGCCCAGTTGTGAACCCCAGCGTGGCTTCACACGGCTTAGCACGCTTCCAGAAATAGCGTGTCCCCTTTGGAGACCGTAAAGCCTGAAACTTTTCCATTCCTTCATAACAACTCCCTTGGATTACAAAACGTGCTGCAGCGTGAATTCTTTCAGTGTGCGAAGCAAAGAACCGAGGTACAACCCACTCCAGGAACCAAACAAAAATTGTTCATCTATTTGTTGTTATTATTATTACTACAAGACTCGGGTTTTCAGAATTAGACTATTTCCTGTGCTCTCTGCTTTCAGCCAAGATCCATTTGAGACCAGCAATGCCGTCCCTCCTTGGACGCCCTCTTCTGCATGAGTCCTGCCACTGCTGATGTCTGATGGATCCTGGCCGAATGCAGAGAATACCAGCAAGATGCTCTGTGTGACTTAATCGACACGCAAAGAGACTCAACTGAATGGCTCATAGGAAATTCTGGAAACCACTGCCAAGGATGGGAACTCCAGACACTTGATTGTGCTGCTGGGGAACCTGCACTTGGGCCAATAGGCAGTTGTTACGATGTGGTTTAAATATCAGGAAAAGCGGGTGTCAGGCTGTGTCCTTTCACCGCCCTTCTTCCATGTGTGTGGAGCAGCACTTGGCCTCGGGATGGGAGGCAGACTCATTCATCACCTGTGAAATGCAAACGACGCAGCCTTCTTTGCTGACCGTGAAGAGGACGGGAAGCACCCTGAGGAAGATCAAGGACCGGAGCCTTCAGTGTAAAGACACCCAAGACCTTCCCTGCACCAAGAGGCAGTGTCAGGATGAGCCAAGAGTGGTTTGACTCATTGAGGATTTATCTCATGGCGTGGGATCCACGAGCCATGCCGATGGGAGCCGCAGTCCGGAAATCCCAACAGTGTGCTGCACGGCGCGAAACTGCTGCAAACGATCTCTTCCAAGGGTGCGAGGGCGATGGGGTCACTTTGAAGGCTAAGGGGCGCCTGACCCAAGCCCTGGTATCGTCCATCGCTTCATATGCAGGCACAGGCCGAACGATGCCTCGAGAAGACCGAGACTTGGTGTCTTTGAATGACGCGGTTGGAGCAGAATGTGAAATACACACGGACTGCCGGGAGACCAAACCGCCTGTGCTGAAGAGGACACCCAGAAAGCTCCTCGGAAGTGAGGTTGGAAAGCTTTCCTCGTCTGGCCTTAGGACATGGGATTAGCTGGAACCGGCCCCTCGACAAGGCCCATCACGCTTGATACAGTAGAGCAGTGGCGCTCAACCTTCCTCATGGGGTGGTGACCCCCAACCAGAACATTATTTTCGTTGCTACTTCATCACGGTCATTTTGTTACTGTGATGAATCGTCATGTAATATAGGCAGGATGTATTTTCACTGTTGCAAATTGAACATCATTAAAGCAGCGTGAATCGCGAAAACAATGTGTCATTCTATATTGTGAAATATTGATTTCTAATGACAAATAAATGAAATTTTGTCTGGAAGTATGGTGTAGCATGGGTAATAGTCTTCACCCCAGGTACTCGTCTGTGGGCGTATCTGCATGTGGGCGGACCTGCCTGGAGATGAGAGGAGCGGTGTCTGGGTTCCTAAGACCATTGGACATATGTGTTTTTTGATGGTCTTAGGCAACCCCTGTGAAAGAGTTGTTTGACCCCCAAAGGGATCAGGACCCACAGGTAGAGAACCACTGCAGCAGGTCAGTGAAAAAGAGGAAGGCAGGCAGCAAGATGGAGTCGCAAGTGACAACCTTGAGTTTGAAAACAGAAATGATTATGAGGATGGCACAGGATGGGTCCGCAGTACGCAGAGTCGCTGTGAGTCAGGATTGACAAGCGGTGCCTGACAACAATCACTTGCCAGAAGGCCGGGCCTGCCCTGCGGGCTCACAATTGTACCCTGATCTCCAGTGCAAGGGGAGCACAGAATGCAATAAATAAAACCAGACCAAACCTGCTGTGGTCAGGTGGATTTCAGCTCCTGGCGTCCCCAGCGTCACAGGGTAGAACTCTTCCATGGGGCGTTCTTACCAGTAGTTTTCGGGGGAGCAGATCTCCTGCTCTTTCTTCTTCGGCTCTCCTGTGGGTTCAACTGCTAATCTTCGGTCAGTCGGTGGATGCAAATGATAAGCACCATCCAGAGACTTTTTTATCTCACCAGTCACAACCCACTGACACGGCGTCTCTTCCTGCCTCCATGCCACAAGGGCAGCACTAACCCTTGTCATTGCAACGGTGACCATAAGGCGTGTTGTTGTTGCTGGGTTCATCAAATGGGCTCTGACTCACAGCGACCCTGTGTGTAACCCAACATGCATGACCACAGTGACCTCATGTATATAGCCCAACAAATTACTGCCCAGTTATGGGCCACCCTCTTAATTGTAGTGATATTTGAGCCGATTAGTATACCTACTGTGTCAATCCATCTCCTAGAACAGCGGTTCTCAACCTGTGGGTTGCAACCCCTTTGGGGGTCGAACAACCCTTTCATAGGGGTTGCTCAATTCATCACAGGAGCAAAATGACAGTGATGAAGTAGCAATGAAAATAATGTTGTGGTTGGGGGGTCACCACCATGTGAGAAACTGTATGAAAGGGTCGCAGCTTGAGGAAGGTTGAGAACCACTGTCCTAGAGGGGCTTCCTCTTTTTCATGGACCCTCTACTCTATCAAGCATGGTGTCCTTCTCCAGGGACTGGCCCCTCGTGATAACATGCCCAAAGCATGGGAGATGAAGTGTTGCCATCACTGATTCCGAGGACCATACTGGCTGTACTTCTTCCGAGCCTGATTCGCCTGTTCTTCCGGCAGTCCATGGTACTGCAGTATTCTCATCGACTCCATCATTCAAGGGCATCGGTTCTTCAGTGGTTTTCCTTCGCCAGGGTCCAACTTTCACTTGCATATGAGGTCATTGAAGATGCGCTGGCTTGGGATAGGCACACCTTAGGGTTCAACGTGATATCCTTGATCTTTAACCCTTTAAGGAAATCTTGTGCAGCAGGTTTGCCCAATGCAATACATCATTTCATTTAGTGACCGCTGCTGCCATGAGCATTGACTGAAGATCCAGGCAAAAGGAAACCACTGAGAACTTCACTCTTTTGTCCATTTGTCATGATGTGGATAATCCTTCCAGTTGTGAGGATTTCGGTTTTCTTTACATTGACTTGTAATCTACATCGAAGGCTGAAGCCTTGATTTTCATCAGCACCAAGCATTTTCATCTGGCTATTGCACGTGGTTAACAAGGCTCTCACCTCCCCAAATACTTACTATCTGGTCCTTGACACAAGGAGTGGACGGGGCTGGAACCCCACCCTTTCCCCAAGGCCCATCTCACTTCCACCCAGATCCGGGTTTGCCTTCTTCACCACCCCCAGTGAGAGCCCGCCACTACCTGCAGCGAGAAGTGACTCGTCCTCAGAGGTGACCAGGAACCCCACAGCTTCCGGAAGCTTCTCCAGCAGACTGTCTCCCTCGGAGGAAACCTGCGCCAAGTCAAGGACACGGATTACTGATTGAACTGTGCCCCTGGGCTGGACTCCTTCCCCTACACCTGGACCCCTGTTTGAGACGAGGGTTTATGTTATGCTAGTGAAGCCCGATCTGTATAAATGAAAGACGGTGGCTTTCAGAATGGATTGCACCTTCAGTGTAAAGAAAGCAAAAAATACAACCAGACTGGTAAACAACATCATGATAAGTGGAGATAAGCTAGGAGTTGCCTAAGAGTTCCTCTTACTTGGGGGGTCCGCCATCAAGACTCACGGAAGTCACCAGCCAAGAAAGCAAACCACATCTTGCTTTGGGCAAATTGGCTACCCAAGAGCTCTGGGAAGTGTTGAAAAGCCAAGCTGTCACTTTGAAGACTCAGGTGCACCTGACCCAACCCAGGGGATTACAGTCATGGAAAATCTGGACAATGGCTAAGGAAGATCAGGGGGAAATTGATGCCTTTGAATGAGGGTGCTGGTGAAGACTATAGAGAATACCATGACCTGCCAGGAGAATTAACAAGCCTGTTTTGGAAGTACAGCCAGATTGCCCGTTAGAAGCAAGGATGACAAGACTCTGTCTCTGTATTTTGGACATATTAGGAGGGACCAGGTCCTGGAGAAGGACATCATGCTTGGTCAAGGGGCCGTGAACAAGAAGACCCTCAAGGAGATGGATGGACACAGGAGCTGCAACAGTGGGCTGAATGGTAAGAACGATTCCGAGGATGGCACGGGGTGGGGCAGTGTTTCATTCTGCTGTACATAATGCTTTGTTACGCGGCAACGCCAACGGTGACCTTCCTGATGTGGATTTCAGGCCTTTCTTCCAGGGGCCCTCTGGGTAGGTTCAGACCACCCGTTTTTTGGCGAAGTGTCGTCAACCTTTTGGCTTGACCCAGACAGAGAGAGAAAGCAAAATAGGGGAGCTGTATTTGACATGGGGAGATCACCAAGAACCAAGAAATGCAGGGTTACAGAAACCGAGGCAAAGGTCTTCTCTCTGAGCTACAAGAGAGAGCCTTTGTTCACAGCTGGTGCCCTGATTTCAGCCCAGCCCCCTGAACTGGAGTCCCCAGGTGACACAATGGTTTAGGCACTGGGCTAGCAGCCAAACATTGCAAGCCCACCCAGACAAGCCTTAGAAGACCTGGGGATCTGCTTCTAAGAGTTAATAGTCTTGAAACCTCTATGGAGCGTTCTGTTGTGCGCACACCGGGTCACCATCCTTCAGAAACTGTCCTGCTTTGCTACCACTTTGCCAAAACACTCCACCACTATTAACCTAACCTGGCTGCCCCCTAGCCAAGACGCCCCTCCTCTCCTCTTCCAAAAAAACCCCAAACCAAACCAAAACAAATTCACTGACATTGAGTCAATTCTGCCTCATAGTGACCCTATAGGACAGGCTAGAACTGACCCTGTGGGTTTGCAAGGCCGTAACTCTTTATGGGAGTAGGAAGTCTCGTCTATCTCCCGTGGAGCAGCTGGTAGTTTGAACTGCTGGCCTGTGGTCAGCAGCCCAGCACATAACCAGTGTGCCACAGAGCTCCCTGTCACATGCCACTAGGGGCACCACTAATCATCTGTTGTTTCTTTCTATTTGCTTAACCACATGAACAGGCCCGGACACTGCGAGGAAATCAATTTCTGTTCTTGAAAGCCACCCACTTGTGGTGCTTGTGCTCCAGCTGCCTATCTAGGACCCTGAGCCAATGCTCATCAATCAGTGCCACGGGGTTAGGATTAGAGCTTGATTTATAGCCGCGGGAACCCTAGGGCGCAATTCTACTCATATGCCTGTGAAAGTGGAACCCTGAATCAAGAAGGCGGAAGAAGAAGCGATGCTTTTGAACGGCGGTCCACGGACTGCTGTACGAACAAGCTGGCCTGTCTTGGAAGAAGTCAGGCCAGAGCGCTCCTTAGAGGCAAGGACGGCAAGACTTTATCTCACTTATTTTGGACATGTCAGGAGAGACCGATCCCTGGAGAAGGACATCATGCTTGGTAGAATAGATGGGCAGCAGGGAAGAGAAAGGTGTTCAAGGAAATGGCTGCATAGGAACAAGTATGAGGGTGACGCGGGACTAAGCGGTATTTCAATCTGTGGTGCATCATGCCAAGTCAGAAAGGCTTCGATGGCACCTAACAAGGACAATAACACCTCTAGGCCTAACACGGTCCCTAACCTAACACAGTCCCTAACACGGTCACTAACCTCAATCCCTAACATGGTCCCTAACCTAACACAGTCCCTAACACGGTCACTAACCTCAATCGCTAACAGTCCCTAACACGGTCCCTAACCTAACACAGTCCCTAACACGGTCACTAACCTCAATCCCTAACACAGTCCCTAACACAGTCCCTAACCTAACATAGTCCCTAACACGGTCACTAACCTCAATCCCTAACACAGTCCCTAACACAGTCCCTAACCTAACACAGTCCCTAACATGGTCACTAACCTCAATCCCTAACACGGTCCCTAACACGGTCCCTAACCTCCAGGAGTTGCCACTAGATGTTTCTCCTGCATGGCTCCGAGCGATAAATCCCTAGAATTCAGAAGAGGTCTCTGGGTGATTCGAATGGTTTTCACTTGGCTGGTGAGCTAAAGGTTGGCCATTTGAGCCCAGCTCGTGGCAGCACAGAAGAAAGACCTGGTGATCTGCTTCCATGAAGCTGGTGGTCAAGAGCGCATGCGCACACACACACACACACACACACACACACACACACACACGCGGCCGCTCGCGTGACGCCACCATGAAATGGAATGGACTCAAAAGCAGCACCAACAAAGGGTTCAGAAGCCGTGGCCATGTCCATAGAAAGATTCACGGAGAGAGGATTTCTCCCACTTCCGAGGACACCTGAGGTTGGAGGTCTCAGCGGATGTCATCGTACTCGATGAAGGTGCTTACCAAAGAGATGGAGCCGCTGCTGAACCCAGTAACCAGCCTTCCTTGTTTCTGGACCGTGACCCCACAGGTGGGTGTTTCCTCTTTGATGCTGGACAGATGCTGCTTCCCCTGCAGTCTTCCCGTGGCTGAGCTCCACAGGCTGACCACGCCGTGCATGGACACCATCAGCAGCCGGGCTTGGGAGGCAAGGACTGCCACACACACCCAAGGGTCCGAGGTATCTCCCAGCACCTGGAACACTGGCTCTGCAGTCTCCAGATTCCATGCATTAACCTAATGACGTAACAAAAAGGGGCAAGTAATAAAAAATGAAAATGAAAAGCTGTGACATTGAATTTTGTCCCCTCTCACGTCCAAGCTCTGTGTTGGACTCCTAGCTCCTCTACCCGTGGCTGTGATGCGATGTCGTCTTATTTCAGAACAACTTGACGCAATCACTTTCCACGGCTGTTGTTCCAAGCCACGTGTGCAGAGTCGAACTGCCCCGTGGAGCTTTCAAGACTGACATTTCAGAAGCAGGCCACCAGGTTCGCTTTCCAGCGTGACTCTGGGTGGATTCAAACTTCCAACCTTGGCTGTACTTGAGTACACAATGGTTTCCGCTCTGCTGGTGGCCTGGTGGCTGAGTGGATTATGTGTTGGATTCTTAACTGAAACTTCGGTCGCTCAAACTGACCTAGCATGCTGTGGGAAAATGATAAAGTTTTCCGCTTCCCAAAAGATTATAGCCTCAGAAGCCCAAAGGGTAGTTCTACTCTGCCCTATAGGGTCTCGAAGAGTCAGAATTGATTTGATAACAGTGGGTGGGTAGTAACATTATGATACATGAAGAAAAGATTGAAGTTGTCAAGGATTCCGTCTTGCTTAGATCCACAATCAATGATTCATGGGAGCAGGAGTCGAGTGATCAAACTGTGCATTGCATTGGGTAAATATGTTGTGTAAGACCCGTTTAAAGTGTTGAAAAGCAAAATGTTACTTTGAGGATTAAGGTGTGCCTGACCCAAGCCATAGAATGTTCACTTGTCCCGGATGCATGTGAAAGTTGGACACTGAATAAAGAAGCATTAAATACTAGGGTTATGGTTAACTAAGTGGAATGACATGATGGAATATGTATTATTTTAATATGGTTAAGGAATACTTACCCTGATAGGGCATTTTTTTTATTTTGGCCACAAAACAAATAGAAATAAATTTAGAAGGATTCAAATCATACAAAATATATCCTTTGGCCACAATGGAATTATGTTAGGGGGAAACAAATAACAGAAAGTTATTTGGAAAACCCCCAAATATTTGGAAATTAAAAGCTTCTTTCTAAATAACTCATGGATCAAAGAAGCAGTCGAAAGGAACTAAATACAAATTAAAATAAAACAATAAAAGTTGTAGGTTGCAGGGAAAGTGGTACTTAGAGGGAAATTTACAATCAAAATGGATATAGAAGAGAAAACCCCCAACTTTTAGGTTAAAAAGAAACTATCAAATCATCTAATTAAGGATGAAATTTGAAGCCTCTTAGAAACATCCTCTTGCTGTGTGCCTTGGTTTACAAACCCCCTTATATGAGAGCCCCTCTTTATAGAAACAGCATACTTCATCTTTGAATGCCCTGGACATAGCCTTCAATAGAGCCGATGTTTGTTACCTTTGAGCCAGATGTTGAATACACGACTTTGTTTGATTCATCCACATGAAGGTTGTAGAACTGAGGCTCTATGGGATCTTCTGAACCTCCATCCCAAATGACGGCTTTCTCCTGGCCAGAGAGTAAGTCCCACAAGCGCAGCGTGTGGTCCTTGGAGGCCGAGATGGCAAGTGTCCCTTTGTCAAAAACTTGCACACACCTCACTTCTGCTGTGGAAGGTCAAGTAGAGGAGACCATGTCAGCTGGGAAGATTTTGACCTCCTACCGGCCTGTCGTACGGTCAGACGGCTCCACCGTACTAATAAGGGTTGTTGTATGATCACAGCAACCTTGGAATGAGTTCTTCTTCCCTGGACCCCTCCCAGTTGACCCCCCATGGCCCCCACAACCTTCCCTTCTGGGCCCCCAGTTATTAGTCCAGTTGCTGTCTTCACAGAACCACCCATCCTGCCTTCCCTCTAGAAAAAAACATGCAAAACAAAGACACACAAAAAAGAGAACCCAGCCATGATCAAATAAAACGGGGGGAAATCTCAATAAAAAAGAAAGCAGAAAGTATTGGGGTTTTTTGTTTTTTTTTAAGAATAAATTCAAAATGCGTCAAAAGGGAGATCTCAGGACAAGGTGTTATGTTCCTGCCCAACCACAGCTGCCCTGTCCACTGTACAACGTTCTTTGTCTGAGAGTAAGGGTGCTCCCATTCCTAGATGGAATGGTCAGTGGGGATTCGCTGGACACCCAATCCACATTGGGATCCTGCACATGGATTTGGGGCTTCCACTATTATCACAGTGTCCACACACCAGGGGGTTAGAATTCAAGTTCTGGTACTGTTCCCTCCTCTGGGTTTGGATTTTATTATTTACAATCCTTGGATCACACCGGCTACTCTTCCATGTGTACTTAGCTGACTCCTCACTTAGATGACTACTTGTTTTGAGACAAGCCTTTAAGAACACAGAGGTTTTTTCTGATAACCTGGCATCATACCAGTATTCTACTTTTTAATCATTTTATTGGAGGCTCATACAACTCGTTAAAATCCATACATACATTCATTGTGTCAAGCACATTTGTACATTTGTTGCCATCATCATTCTCATAACATGTTCTTTCTACTTGAGCCCTTGGTATCACCTCCGCATTCCCACCCGACGTCCCGCCCACTCTCCCTTTCTCAAGAACCCTTGATAATTTATAAATTATTATTATTTTGTCATGTCTTACACTGTCCAACATCTTCCTTCACCCACTTTTCTGTTGTCCATCCCCCAGGGAAGGGAGGGTTATGTGTAGATTCTTATTATTGGCTCCCCCTTTCTCCCCACCTTTCCCTTCCTCTCCTGATATCACTACTCTCATTATTGGTCCTGAGGGGTTTATCTGTCCTGGATTCCCTGTGTTTCCAGCCCTTATCTGTACCCATGTACATCCTCTGGTCTAGCTGGAATTGTAAGGTAGAATTGGGATCATGATAGTGGCGGGGAGGAAGGGGCATACCAGTGTTCTTGTCAGTTTGAAAATAACCTGCTTTGTTAAGAAAGCTCATGTTTCAAAAATGACAATGACAACTCTGTAAAAGTTTGCTTGATGTAATTGATTTATGGATTGTTATCATATCTGTAAGAGCCCCCAATAAAATGTTTTTTAAGTGCATTCTTTCACATTACTATATCTGTAAAGTGTAAAAGAATAAACAGGGACACTTAGCTCTGTGGAAGCAGATAGCATCCTCTTTCTTCCGAGGAGCGGCTGGTGGGTTTGAACTGCTAACCTTGCAGCTAGCAGCCCAGTGCTCACCCCACAGCATCATCAGGGCCTCAGCCTTTGGTGATTAGATACCTTAACACTCTTCCAGCGTCTACCTATTTAGTACCTGGTTCCAAAACCACTCCCACAGGTTCGGAATCTGTTAGAGCTGTGCCCCGCTCTCAGTGGCAAATTTTTCACTCATTTGGTGTGGCCCTGAGTCTTCGTGGCTCTTACCAAAAGACGAGGTGGGAATATGCGGATGAAGTGCTTGTGGTACAATACAGCCTGGTGGGGATGGGACCAGGCAGTTTTACCATCCCGTTAAGCTTAGGAGAGAGGAGCCCTGGTGGGGTCGTGGGTTACGAGTTGGGCTGCTAACCATAAGGTCAGCAGTTCGAAACCCGCAGCCGCTCCATGGAATTCTAACCCGTCTACCTGTGATGTCATCGCAGGGAGGAAAGCATGTTCTTTGCTCTGTCCGTGAGGGCATGGCAGGGCAGCTTTAAGCCAGTTCTGAGATCTAAACATTGGAGATTGGGCACAGAGAAGCATGCATACATGCACACATGCATGAAGGAAAGCATGGATGAATGAAGGGGGATGGATGCCAAGTGGCGGTCTCCCAGGAAAGACTGGAATCTTTAGAAGATTGTTGGAGAAACTGACCCTGGATTCCCGCCCCACCGCCCCACTCACCACCCTTGGACCCCAGCGCCAGTGGAGTTCATGAACTGGTTTCAGTACATCGTTGCCTGAGGTTGTGAGTCAATCTAGCTTCATGGGCACCCGCGTGTGCACTGTGGGGCTACTTCAGAGGGCTTTCCAGGCTGTGGGCTTTTGAAGCAGATCATCAGGCCCGGCTTCCAAGATGCCTCTGCTGGGTTTGAACTGCCAACCGTTTGGGCTAGTATTGGGCTAATCATTTGCACTACCCAGGGTAAATCGGGATCATCATAAAGAGACAATGCATGGCTGAGAGAGGGAATGTGCTCTGTGTTGGAAGCTCTCAGAAAGCCTCCGGCTCTGGGCTAAATCAAACCTCTTGAGACTACTTAATATCAGCCTCCCAAGTGAGTCTTCTTTTGGTCTGTGTAGCCTCTACTCACCAGCGCAAAGCCTCAGGTGTGGCCGAGAAATCCCAGGCCAAGGCACTCCAATTACTCCAATAGTTATTTCTCTGAAGTCAAGGCCAAAGACCACCTTCCTTAGGGTAAAACTCAATCTTTTAATGCAGAGAAGCCTTGTGCATGTCTGTCCTTTCTCTTGAAACCCTGTCCTCTTCTCTGCATGGACTAGTGTGCTGGGGGATGAGAGGCCGGTTTGACTAGTCTCAGTCAAAGTCATCTTGAATCAGCCACTGTCCTGCTAACTGACTGCAGATGGATGAGCAAGTTCAGCCGAGACCAGATGAATCACCCAGCTGAGCCTAGCCTGAATTGCCAACCCACAGAGGATGACTTCCATGAACGGCTGCTTAAGGGTCCTTTGCTATGCAGTCGTAGATAACCAATGCAGAAACAAACAGCAAAGTTTCAAGCCAGAGAAGGGAATCCATGGTGGAGAAGTGGATCATAAGCTCTCTTCCTGAATCTTACCTGTGTGCCCAGTCAGGATGTGGATCACGTGGTACTCTTTCATATCCCACACAGCCATGGTGCCATCCTGGGTGCCAACCACCAGCAGCAACTCTTCCAGGCTCCATGCCATCGCAGTGATGCCTGCAGCCACACAGACAACAAGGGAGACCCGAGTCCTCGTGCCTGAGCTCTGAGCCGTGGTGGAGGCCTCTGATGAGCACCCACTTCACAGATCAGATAACAGGCAGAGAGAGTCCCACAGTTAGGACATGTCAGAGCCGGGATTTGAAGTGAGGGCTATCAGACACCAGCGTCAGATGCTTGTGGATTCATTGTGTCTCCCCAGAAGTTATAAACCCTAACCCCTGTTCCTGTAACTAGGAACCTGTTTGGAGATAGGGGTTTTCTTTTGTTATATTAGTGAGGTCATGCCAGAGGTAGGGTAGGTCCTAAACCTAACCACTTCTACGTGGTGTCTTATAAACAGAGCCAAATAGGCACAGAAACCCAGCTGAAAGGGTAGAAGGCAGCAGATGCCAAGAACACAGGAATAAGGATAAGCGGAAGGAGAGAGGGAAGAAAAGAGGAAGAGAGGGAACCGCTATAGGGGACAGGGACAAGTGGATAGATAAAAAGAGGTGACAGGATAGATGGGTGGATAGAATCATGGCAAAAAGGAAGGATGCATGATGACTGATGGAAGGATGGATGAAAAGCCAAATGGAGGGAAGAGTGAAAGGATGGATGGAGAGACGGAAGGAGATATGGATGGATGATGGGGAGTGGGTGGAGAGCGAGAATGATGAATGACTGATGATAGAAGGCTGGACAGATGGATGAATGGAAAGACGGATGGAGGACAGGTACATCTATGATGGATGATGGGTTCATGAAAGGATGATTAAATGGAAGGAAGGGTAGATGGATGAATGGTGAGTGGATGGATGGGAGAAAATAAAGGTGGGTGAGTAGATGATAGACAGGTAGGTAGATCATGGGTACACGAAAGGATGGGTAAATGGAAGGAAGGGTAGGTGAATGGATGGGTAATTAGATGGACAGGTAAATAGATGGGCAAATGGATGGATGGATGGATGGATGGGTAATTGAATGGATGGGTAAATAGATGGATGAGTAAATGGATGGATGGATGGGTAAATGGATGGATGCGTAAATGGATGGGTAAATGGATGGATGGATGAATGGGTAAATGGATGGATGGATGAATGGATGAATGGATGGATAGATGGATGGATGGATGGATGGATGGATGGATGGATGGATGGATGGATGGATGGATGGATGGGTAAATGTATAGATAGGCAGGTAGATAGATGACGGAAGGCTACCTGGAACTAACACACACACACACACACACACACACACACACACCCGACATCCCCCTGATGCTCTGTGGGAGTCAACAATTCCATCGGCCTCTCAGGGGCCTGTCAGGAATCACTCCCTGGCTCCTGGAGCATACCAGCACACGTCTGCCAGTTTCAGTAACTATCTGACAGACGAGTGCTTGGTATCTCTGAGATGCAGCCGGCATCCCCACAGCCCAGGCTCATTAGCAGTATTTATGCTGGTAATCAACAGTCCCTGGGGAGTCAGAGAGAGAGAGAGCGCCGAGTCAGCATGAGACAGCAAGGGCTCGCCCTGATGACACCCTGGGGGGTGCTGACTGGTGCAGGGGACCCCAGAGAGTAGCCCAACACACCTGCCCTCCTCCACCCCGATGCCTGTCATGCTGGGGAGACTCACCTTTGTGGCAGCCAGTGAGGGTTGCCCGGAGGGGTCCGCCGGGGGGTGGGAGGAAGCCTGTGAGGGGCACCAGCACTGGGTGGGGGCACACCCGGAACCAGCTCTGTGCCTGTTGGCACAGCTGCCCCACCAGAGCTGGGTGCGAAGTGGCAAAGAAATGGAGTCTGGCCAGGAGTTCCGTGTATAGAACGCTTTTCTCTGGAACAAAGAGGAGCAAATCAAGCGGGGGCAGGTGGAGGGGTGGCACCGCTGGTCGGGTTGAGGCATCCTTTGGGGGCTACAGAACAGAGAAGGGGCAACACCTCAGGTATCACTTAGTCTAATCTTGGCAACGTGGCCAAGGCCTTCCATGTAGTAGCCTCTACACCCCCTGGGCAACTACCCATCTCTTCACTCCCTCCCAGTGGACACCTCTGCCGTGCTGACTCTGGTCCCGAATGTGCTGGGCTCCTTCTCACGCCTACCTGTCTGCTCTTCCCCTCCCTTTTCTTCCAGTCTTACCTACCTCCCACCTGCCTTCTCACAGCTAGCAAACGCTAGAAACTTGCCCGGGCTCTCTCCTGACCCAGATTGAGACCCGTTCCTGCCAATGTCTTCCCAACACACACTACCCACAGCGCGGCTGCAGTCTTACGCGCATCGAAACTGTCTTTTCATGTTTACCTTCCCTCCTTTTTTAAAGCCACACAGACCAATGTTCAGATCAGAGGAGTAAGGGACCTGGAGTTTTTGGTGTTTCTTTGTTCATGGGGCACCTTTTATTTCATTTATTTATTTTCTTGTTGAGCCCTCCATCTTTTGCCCCCGGCCCCCAATCTCTTCCCCTTTCCCACCCCTGTCCATGACCTCCTCCTAGTCATCAAAATTTGGGGGGTTTGGGTGGCCACGTGACATTTCTTCTTCGTTTTCGCTGATAACAATGGTGATCTTAAATGATATTAACAATGGTGATATTAAATGCTTATCTTTGTGAGATGCCTGAGTCTGCCAAGCGGATCATTCTCTAGTTTTGCCCGTGTCTTGTGGTGTTTGGGGGAGTTGTCACTGTTTTTTATTGATGCGTGAAATTCCATAGAATGAATGTGCCCGAGCTTGTTTATCCATTCCTCTGCAGCTGAGGTTTTGGGTTGTTTCCATGTTTTTGTTATTCCATGTAGAAATAGGCACAGGTATGCATCAGTCTGTTCGTGTTATAGTCTTTTTGGGGTGCGTGTTCTATTCTTAATTTCATGTTTACCATGTCTGTTATTGCAGTACCAGAACTGCCGCCTCCTACGTATTCAGTGAAGGAATACGTTTGATAAAGGAATAGTTGACTTAAGAGTTTGTTGCTAATCATGCTCGTAGCCACATTGTGCCAAGGTAGGTGGGGACAAATGATTATTAAGTCGTTGGCTTGATTAAGGCTATTTTCCTGAGAGTAGTGCAGCAAGCCTGAAACTCAGTGGAAAGTAGCACGATTTTTAAAAGAAGGACATCGGGTCGAGTTCCCGTGTTCTTTCCGATCTCTTCCTCTGACCCTCGGCTATGCTCCTGGGGTCCCCAGATATACCAGGCTCTTGGTAAGGGGACGAGGGAGGGATGCGACCCTCCTGTTCAGGTCGCATCTCTGACCCAATATAAGGGATGCATTCCTGGGGTGTGGCCAGCATCCTCTGCTATCTTACAGGCGAGACCAGGGGAGCAGAGAGGAGGAGCAGCCTGATGACCACCAAGAAAAAGAACAAGAGTAGAATACATCCTTTGGACCCGGGGCCCCTGCGCTAAGAGCCTCCTAGACCCAGCGGAAGGCTGATGCTAGGATACAGGAGGTCATCCAGGGCACCGGGCCTGCAGATGTTGATAGGAAACAAGGACCTCCTCCCCAGAGTGGACAGAAAGAAAGCCTTCTCCTGAAGGTGCCACCCTGAATTTGGACTTGGAGTTTCCGAAAATACAAGAGGCTGCATTTCTGTTTGGCAGAGTCATCCAGGAGCGTCTTTCATGTGTGTACGTAGGTAGCAGCCCTAGGAGAAACTAAGACTGAGGGCCTCCGGGCACTTGTCAGTCACAGAGGGGATCAGCCAAAGAGCCGCGGTGGCTGGAAACAAACAACTTGCCCTTTCACAGTTCTGGTGCCTAGAAATCTGGAATCAAGGCATCAGCTGGGCCACAGACTAGTAGGGAGCCTGGTTCTCTTCCTGGCAGCGTCCAGGAGCTCCAGGTGTTCCCGGCCGTGCCTGTGTCGCAGCCATCTCAGTCTCCTCCGTGCGTCTGTCTGCGCTCCGTCTGTCTCAGATCTCCCTCTGCCTCTCTCTCACAAGGACACAAGTACTTGCATTTAGGGCCCCACATGGATGACCTAGGATAAGCTCCCCCTCTACCGACTCACGCCTTTGGCCATAGAAGGTAATGCTCACCAGCCCCCGACTGTTGTTGGGTGGCTCTGACGCACGGGCAACCTGGTGTTCAACAGAACCCAACGTGACCCTGTCTCACGCTCACAATCGGTGTCACATCTGGATCTAGCAGGGTGGCTGTTGTGTCCATTCAGCTCACCCTGGCTCTCCTCTGCCCTCCCCGGCTCCCTCCTTCACTAGCTACGATGTCCCCCGCCAGCTACTAGACCCTCCTGACGGCACGTCCAAAGCACCGGCCAGGGAAAGGTCCTCATGTGATCCGTTGGTGATCTTTGGCAGTTGACCACCAGGCCTTTCTTCCTGGTCTGTCTTACTCCGGAAGCTCTGCTGACACCTGTCCTCCGCAGGTGGCTCAGGGAGCGTGTAGCGGTCTTCCTTATCTGGTGCTGCTCTACCACCAGCGAGCGGCTTGAGCAAACATATAGTGTTGCTTTCTCACAGGTAGGGGGTGAGCTGTTCGCATCCAGGGTGCCGGCTGGGCGGAAAGCTTTCTTTCTCCGCCGACGGCTGCAGAGGAAGGCCCTTGTCCCTTTGGGGGCTTCTGCTCCCGAGTGACCTTCACGCGGTTTGACATCTCTCTTCTCCCATCTCTGCTTGCTCACTTGCCTGCTCACTTTCGGATTTTAAAAAACACACCCTACCACGGCTTTGCAAACTAAGAAGGGAACATAACAGATCATCGACAGGAGCAAAGCCAAGCCACAAAGCCCCAGAGGAGCCCCCAAAGTAGACCCCAGGCTAGGAGGGGCAGTTCCCAGAATCCCCTCCCACCAGTGGAGAGAAGGTCGTGAAGGTCAGTGACAGACCTGGAATTATCTATGCTCTCTCAGGTTTTTCCCAAAGTTATTTTTCTTTACATACGTATAGTTTTCAATTTTTTTCAATTTTTTGGTTTTCTCTTTGTATCGTCTCCGTTATTGTTGGTTTGCCTACTTAGATAAGGTAATCATGGGAAGCAGAGCCAAGGAGGGAGCAGCAGGGCCGAAGATCCAGGAGGGACTTGGGGGGAGGAGGAGGCGGGAGAAGGGAGCGGTGAGCAAACAACACCGTAGACAGGAACAACTAGGGAATTAAAATCAACAACAAGGAGGACGTAGAGATCCTGGGGGTGTTGGAGCAACAGCAATCTAGCTGAGAGGAATCACTAAGAGGCGGAAGAAGGGCAAGTGTGATGGTGGGAAAGGAGAAAGTTCAAAGGAAACAGAGGAAAGAGCTAGGAAGCAACGCTATGGATAGAGGTATAAACATAGGTGTGCGCTTATGTAAATACATTAATTCATAAAAATAGAGGTACTGGCATGTGTACATATATTTATATGGCAAAACATTGAGGAAGCGGGTGGACTTTGGGCCTCTGTTTAAGTCCTCCCTTCAACGCAAGAACACTTTGTTCTAACAACCTGGCATGCTGTGATGCTCACCCTCCGGCATGATCGCTGAAGACAACATGGGTGCACAAGTAAGTGTGGTGAAGAAAGCTGACTGTGACCGGCTATCAAAAGATAGAGCATCTGGGGTCTTAAAGGCCTGAAGTGAAACAAGCGGTCATCTAGCAGAGAAGCAACAAGCCCACACGGAAGAAGCACACCAGCATGTGCGATCATGAGGTGTCGACGGGCTCTGGTA